AAATCATGTTGAAGAAGCTTGTTAACCACTCGACGCCTCTCTCTCCCAAACTTCCCAAAGCCTCGATCAGTATGCCATCTGGACCCACTACTTTCTTCCGTCCCATCTTCCTCAGAGCTTCTTTATCTTCCGTTATTTGGATCCTTCTCACAAAATCAGGATTTACCATACAATCTGGTATGGACAAATCACCGATATCTTGTGTATCCGATATTTTTCGTCATACTTCAAAAAAGTTTTAACACCCGATTATGTCTCATTAATCAATACAATATCATCGGCAAACATCATGTGCCATGGTATATCTTGTTGAATTGCCTTTGAAAGTTCATCCATGATTATATCAAATAATAAAGGACTCAGAACCAATCTTTGGTACACTTTGACAGTAATCGGGAACTCTGCAGTCCTCCCTACTCTAGTACGAACACTTGTAGTACAATCCTCATACACATCCATAATAGTGATGATATACTTATGTGATACTCCATCCGTCCCAAATTGATTTGCAAAGTAAGCATTTTTTGTCAACTAATGTTAAAGTCTAATCCTCCATATTGATAAATATTCAATTTTTAGTAATTAAAACTTACATAATCATAAACTACATAAGATCTCTACAAAGTTGCAAAATTCATATTAAAATATAATTAAAAATTGATATCCTAATTAAATAAACAAAATGAAACTGTTTGACAAAAAAATGTTGACTTTACAGATCAATTTGGGATGGAGGTAGTATGTCTTTTCTAGGTAAGGCTAACCAAAGGACTTCTCGAGGTAAAGTATCATATTCCTTTTCTCAATTTGATCCGCTTTACTACAACTTAGGGGTGGATTCGGTTCGGGCCACCCGGCCCGTGACCCGGCCTGGCCCGCTACTGTGCGGGCCCGGGACCGGCCCGGTCTGGCGGTCCGGGACCGGGTGTAGACCCGAACCGGTGGGGATGGGCGGGGCGGACACGGTTCCGGAATAATGTGACCCGGCCCGGCCAGGTCAGGCCCGGGCCCGGGTCCGGGTCCAACGGTCCTTTTTTAAAAAAAAAAATTGTTTGGCCCAAACTAGCCGTTTGGCCCAATTTTTTTTTGTTTGGCCCAATTTTTTTTTAAAATATTATTCACATATTCCGCATATTTATGGTATTGCATTTGTTCTCGATCCTCGTTTTAGACTTGGTTCTTTAGAAGAATGTTTGAATTATTATTATGCTGCTTTTTTTGGTCCATTGCCAATGTATGAGGACAACCCAGTGGATCCGAAAAAAGAATACAACGAGGTTAGTGATATATTTTATGCATTATTCAATGAGTTTCATGCACAATATGGCAATGCGCCCTCTCCCCCGACACAAACATCATCTAAAGGAAAATCAATTTTCAAATCTACGTTTGCCAATCTTATTAAAAAACGAAATCAACTCCCGCTACACAACAAAGCACAATTAATGAGATTTCTTTGTATTTAACATATGATGTTGATTTTGAACAAGATGATGATTTTGACGTACTAAACTGGTGGAAGGGAAAAGAAAGAATGTTCCCGATTTTAGCAAAGATGGCTAAGCAAGTGCTATCAATGCCGGTTTCAACGGTTGCCGTGGAACAAGAATTTAGTTCGGCCGGCAATGTCCTAATGCAAACCAGAACGAGGTTGAGCGTAGAATCTCTTGAGATGCTTATATGCTACCACGATTGGTTGAAAGCAGCCCGTAGAGCTCAAGAAATTGACATCACCCCATCCCAACACTTTATGGATGAATCTACAACCGAGGGTGGCTCTACCTATGCCGGAGTTTCCGATTGAATGATTGATTAGTATTTCATGTTTTAATTTTACCTTCAATTCTCAATTGTAGTTCATATTTAATTTTCAAATGTAGTTCCTATTTCATTTCAAATAAATGCACTTGAAGTTTGTTTTTAATACTTGTATAAAACTATAAAAGTATAAATTATAAAATATAAATTATAAAAACAAAAAACAAAAAAAATCTTTAACCGACCCGGCCCGGCCCGGCGGGTGGCCCGACCCGTGACCCGGGCAGGTGGCCCGGCAAGAACCGGACCCTTCCAACATTTGGGCCGGTCCCGGGCCCATATGATACGAACCAGCGGCCCGACCGGGCCCGACCCGGCCCGAGTCCATGACTGCTACAACTAGGAATGGACTCGGGCCGGTTCGGGCCTGGGCCCGGCCGGGCCTCGGTTCTAGGAAGGCAGGCCCGGAACCGGCCCAGATAACCCCGGGTCCGGTTCGGTTCGGGTCACCCGCCCGGTTCACGGGCCGGGCCGGGCCTATTTAAATTTTTTTTTTATTATTATATAATTAGAATAAATCTTATTACAATTACAATATATTATATTCGAATTGAAGTATATTTATTTCAAATAAGAAGTACAATTGAGAATTAGGATGAATTTAAAAAATGTAATACATTTTGTAATAAAAAATCAATCGGACTCTCCGCCTTCGGTTGTTTCCTCCATAAAGTGGCGGGAGGGAGTGATGGTAATTTCTTGAGTTCTTCGTTGGGCCTTCAACCAATCGTGAAAGCAAACTATGTAGAAAGAATTTGGAGAAGATGAAGAATGAAGATGATTGAATATGAGAGATTAAGAGAATAGAGAATTTAGATTTTAGAGAGTAGAAAGAGTTGTAGGTGTAAAAAATGTATAGAAAATAGGAGTATAAATAGGTTTTTTTTTGTATACCCCAACCCCACCCCCCCCCCCTAACCCCCCAGACCCCCCCTCCTATGCTCCCAACGGCTATAGAGCCGTTTGGGAGGTCTCCCAAAGGCTAGTAGAGCCTTCAAATTTTTAAATTTTTTTTTTTTTTTTTTTTTTGTGACCATTGAGGCCCGGGCCGGTTCACCAACATATAAGCCCGGGCACGAACCGCTACATGACCGGGCCGGGTGGCCCGAACCGTGACCTAACCAACGAACCGGGCCGGTCCGGGCCCGCACAGTAGCGGGCCGGTCCGGTTCCGGGCCGGTTGGCCCGGCCCGAGTCCACCACTAGCTACAACTAGGAGTGGATTCGGGCCGAGCTAGGTCCGGGTCGGGCCTAGGCCCGGGTGGGCCGACGGGTCTGAATAGGTGGACCCGGGACCGGCACGGGTAGCCACCAGGTTCGGGGCGGGCTGAGCCTCAGGTTTGGTTAATTGTTTTTTTTGCTTACCTACCTATCCCTGACCCCCCCCCCCCTCACCCCTAGGGGTGGATTCGGTTCGGGCCACCCGGCCCGTGACCCGGACCGGTCCGGTACTGTGCGGGCCCAGGACCGGTCCGGTCGGGCGGTCCGGGACCGGGTATGGACCCGAACCGGTGGGAATGGGCGGGGCGGGCTCGATGCTGGATTAATGTGACCCGGCTCGGCCGGGTCGGGCCCGGGCCCGGGTCCGGTCTTAAGATTTAAAAAAAAATGGTTCTTGGGCTACTAGCCGTTGGGGGTGGGGCTGGGGACAACCCAAACGGCTATATAGCCGTTGGGTGGGGTAAAGGGGGGGGGGGTCCAGGGGGTTGGGTGGTGGTGGTGGTGGTGGGGGGGGTGGGAGTAAAAAAACCTATAAATACTCCTAATCTTAAACATTTTTTCATATCTCTTCTCCAATTCTTCCTAAATCCTATTCTTAACTCTCTACTCTCTAATTCTCTTATTCTCCAATATATTATATTTATTATTTATATATCTACTTTATAGTTTATACTTAAGAAGTTAAGATGGAAAATCAAGATGCCATTATACGGTATAATTTTGATAAGCAGAAGGACTCAAAGACCGGGATGTGGTACGCAATTTGCAAATGGTGCGAGAAAAAATGTAGCATGGGGGTTTCAGGCGGATTCGGGATGGCAATCAAGCATATGAAGTCATGTGACAAAGCCAAAGGATCGGGAGGTGCGGGAAGTTCCGATTGATTACAATTTTCAAAATGTTTATCTCTTAAAATTTGTTTTAATTTTCAAATGTAGTTCCTATTTCATTTCAAATAAATGCAATTGAAGTTTGTTTTTAATACTCGTATAAAACTATAAACTATAAAATATAAATTATATAAAAAAAAATTAACCGGCCCGGCCCGAACCGGACCCGACCCGTGACCCGGGCGGGTGGCCCGGCCCGAACCAGACCCGTCCAACCCTCGGGCCGGACCCGAGCCCATGTCATACAACCCGGCGGCCCGACCGGGCCTAGGCCCGGCCCGAGTCCATGAATACTCACCCCCCGAAACCCCTCCTTAACATCAAGCCCAACTCGAGTGGAGCCCAAACAAATGAAAAAAAAAAAATTGGCCCGGGCCCGGACCCGGTCGGCCTGGGCCTTGTTTTGGGTGACCCGAGCCCGGACCCGAAACTGCTCGGATCGGACCTACCCGAACCGGTCACTGACCGGGCCACCGGTTCGGGTCGGGCCACCGGTTCGGGCCGGGCCGAAACAGTGCCGGTCCTGGACCTTTTCCGGGCCAGGCCACCCGGCCCGAGTCCAAGCCTAACTGCAACCCTCATTAGGCTTAAGATGTTCAGCCTTTTTACTTTCTTTAGGAAAATTTAGGAAAGATCTACTCCATCGCAACTCAGTCAAAGTCTAAGTAACAAAAACATGTAACCAAAAAATTAAGATTTTCACTCATGTATGTAGGCATGGACTGGAACGGGCCAAGTAGAACCTTGGGCCCGGGCGTGCTTCGAGACTAAGTAATTCAGGCCTGCTACCGATCCGGTTTGTATCGGTACCATGTCCAGGTCAGGCCCAAATAGTACCGGGCCAAGCGAGGCTTCAACCTTTTTAATTAATTTTTTTTTTGTAAAAAAATAGCCCAAGCCCAACCCAGGTCCATCCCTAAATGAGACGATGAGAATGCAAAATTGTGACATGCAAAGGATAAATATTTGGTCAAATGTAACAATTAAATGAGAGTGCAAAGTTATAACCATAGGATATATACTTGTTCAAATGTAACAAGACTATGAAGTGCAAAGTTGTACCACACACATGCTAAATATTTGGTTAAATATAACAAGTCAACGGGAGTGCATAATTGTACCCCACAGGATAAATATTTGGTCAAATGTAACGAGACAATGAGAGTGCACAGTTGTACCATAAACAGGATAAATATTAGGTCAAATGTAATTAAACAATGTAATTACTGAAACAATGGTGCAAAGAACTTTTTTAGAAAAATCTTTACACAACTTTTTTACCCTAATAATTAATTAGAATTAAAATTTTAATAATTAATTAAAATTAAAATTTGGAGGTTAGCCCCCAACTACGCCCCTTTACCTACGCAAACTACAAAGTCAGAATGCAGAGTCACTTCACATGCGCCCCAAAACTCCGTCTTCCAAGCAACTCCATTCATCTTCAACAAATGTGTCGTATTCATCTTCTCCACCCGAATGAATAATTTCAACACAGCAAAAACAAAAGACAATTACTCAATTAGCACCATGGCTCAATACCAGCAGAATATTTGAGCTGAAGTCAAAAGCATTACAAACACAAAGGTATCAACATATTCCACTCAAATCACATCGCTACTTAAGATTATCTACTACAGTTAAATTTACACATTCAGCATCTTCGAAAATATATGTAGCTGAAAAGGTTCTACATTAGACTTGATGAGATGCTCTATTTATATGAAAATAAATAAAATATATGTAAATGAAACAGGTAACAGAGCATATTGAACTGCATTTTCATCAGAAAATATAATAAACATGGACTACATTTAAGAGAAAAAATGAGTATATATGTACATAAAGAGATGCCACTCTGCCACCTTTAGATAACATTGAGCAAAATAAATGTACATGAAGTACATATTAACTTACGATTCTTTAGACCCTTAGGCCACACGTCCAGCACCCCCATTAAACCATTCATTTGAGTGGCATATGTCACTTCAGCAAAGTAAGTATTAGTTTGACCTGATATGGTATCCATTGCCTCAAATGCTAAGCGATAGGTATGGTGCTCTGCTGTGTCCTGGACAGCCTTCACTATCCTCATAAGTTGAAGCTGCTGGGGTTTCCCTCCCTAATGCCATTACTGGGGTTATGGTTGATGATATCACTGCATTAAATAATCTTTGAGAAGAGAAAAATGCAAGCATACCTGCATCTCACTGTACTCTGAAATAGCATAATCAGTACACTTCTTGATCCTTTCGTACATCTCTTTGTCTTCCAAATCAACAGGAAAAAGAAAGTCTGAAGAAGGAGAAGAAATAAATAGACATTATCTCTATAGGCTCTATAAACTAACACCAGTGTAGACTACACAACACCATTCATGAACAAAAAACATCACTTAAGTTAATATCATCTCTGAACTACAAAACCGTGCTGAGAAAACTCATCTAGCCAGAACAATTTACAAAACTCAGTTATTCGACAACTTTCATACATTGTTTAAAATTGAGCAATGCAATAGCCCCTTGAGGCGCACCTCACAGATTTTCTGGGATTTTACGATGCAACGCATAAATAGTTTCACCAAATATTAAGATTTTCGCCAAATAATTTGCAAGGTGCAGGCCATTAGGCGTACAATTAGTGGCGCAGCAAGGCTTATGCAGTTGGAGTTTCAGTAATTAATTATGTGCATCCCAGTTTAATAGTAATTGGGTCCAGTTTCAATTTAAACACAATTATTATGTCAATAATAACCCCATTATTTCAATTGGAGATTTGGAGTAAGGCAGTTTAAACTGATAAAAAGCAAATGTATATTATACAAGTACCTTTTCTTGTATCCTTCCTCCTGATGAAAAATATCTGCTTGTATTCCTTGTCATGACCACACAACATTCGAGTTTGATAGGTTGCAGACTGGTTAGAAACGGTATCCACAGCCTCAAAAGTTATAAAACAAGCATAGGTAAAACGACCACTCTTATTAGCCTTCTCAATCTTCACAAGTTGAAGCTGGGACTTGGATTTCTACACCGCAGACAAATGAGATATTCGTAAGCAAGGTTATTGTAAACATAATTACACCAATAGTCAATATTTGAGAAACGCAAAAAGCGTACCATGAGACGATTGTATTCAGAAATAGCAAAATCAGTACATCCATTGATAAGATCGATTTCTTCGGGGTCATCCAGATCACAGGGCAAAACGTGGGTTCCAAATATGCGACGAAACGCCCTCGGAACAAAATCTATGTCGAAGAACTAGAGATTAAACAAGCATTATCGTTGTCAGTTTATATATAACAAGCACACATACAGAACAATACATTTGTATATTTTATCACTGATTACCTCGCTTTCTTCGAGCTGGCGCTCATACTTTAGATATTCCTCGATGAGGTCTTGGTCGTCGATGTGTTCGAAACCATCGCTTTCGCTGCTCGAAATTTCGCTCAGAGGAGAGCTTGGGATGATTTCATCTGTATCAAGTTTTGGCTTTTTCAGGGGAGATTCAAGGGTCTGTAAAGTCTCCGATAGCATCGTATTGAAAAAGCACCGGCAGATTGAAAAAGCACCGGCAGAATGTGTGCTGATGTGATGTTACGCGATCCCTATACTTTTTGTTTCCAAAAAAAGGGGCACAATACCTCTTGCCCTCCGTAGAACCGGAAGGCTTTAAATATACACAAATGCTGTTGCTACACCTTCTAATACCTGCTAATACAATATACTACCTTCGTTCTTAAATAAATACAACACTTTAACTTTTACATTATTCACATGTTCTACTTTGATTACGTTTTATTTATTAATGTAATAATATTATTTTATGAAATAAATATTATTAAACTTATCTCATTGTAAATTTCCATAATCTATTTTTTTTAATTTTTTTACTAATACAAAATCATTTATATTAATCGTGAAAGTTGTGTCTCGGCAAGTGTGAAATGTTGACCGTTGCATTTATTTAAGAACGGAGGAAGTACGTAGTATATAAAGCCCAAAAAAATTATCCCCTTTCCCACTCCAATCTCACGTGCGCCGGTCTCCCTCCCCAAAATCAAACCCCCGCCTAACACTTTCCGCAAACAACTTCCCCAAAACTTTCCTCCGTTCTTTTTCCGGAAATCCTTCCCAACGAAACATCACAGCCGTTCCTTGCATCCAAACGCCCAACGGAGAAGCCGAAACTTGTAGGCGGTCGGCCATCGGAGAACGAAGCTTGAGGATGATGAAATTTGAGAAAGTGACCTTCGGACCGACTTAGAAGTTAGAGACGAGAATGAAGGAAAGGTTAGTATCATTTTAATTAATTTTAAACCACATTAAATTATGAAGGTCATTTGGAGCGTTAATTAAGCCCCCATTGTCGATTAAGATTAGAAAGAATGACCATAATAATGCTAACGGAAGACCTAAAGACAAAAATAGGAGTCTTTCCGTTATTTCCATAAATGAGACTCTTTTCAGTGTAAATTTACAAATTTAACCTTGCACCAATTATTACGGATCTTCTCTTTCCTTCCCCCAATTTCTTCCATCTTCGTACCTGCTGTCCCATGGTTCTCCCTTCGACTTCTGTGCTTCTCCCGATCTCCCCTTCACCTGCTGCCACCGCCCGCCGTCTTCGTCGCGTGCCACATCGCCGAATTCGTTGCTCGCCGCCATCCCAGTTGCTTTCTCTTTCTGTCTCACGCCATGGATGGCGATTCCCGTGACTATGAGCGAAGGAGGTAAATCCAAGCGCGATACTGGACAGGCGAGGAGGAGACAGTTATTAGAGTTACAATGGAGAGCGACGGTAACTGTGGTGGTCGACGTCTTTACTGGCGGCACGATTAAGCGGCTGGGGCGACAGATGGGTGATAAAGATGGGGAGGGGGTTGGGGCAGGGGAGGTGGTTGGGGGCTTAGCCGTATCAGGGTGGGGCAGCAGTGGTCGGCGGTGGCCGGTATAGGTGGTCATTAGTGGTTACAGGAGGCGGCGAGTTTCTTTTTCTGATCTCGAGGGACGGAAGACGCCGGAATCAAGAAATAGATGCTGCCCCTCTTGAGCTCCGACGTCGGAGATATGATCAGAATCCGGTGAACCATGCCCTGAGAAGTGGGTTTGATAAGGACGCGATTGGAGTTTTTCTGGAGAACTTCACCGGCGGTGATTGGGTGAGTGTAATTGGACGGATCGGGTAACTGTAACTGGATGGACCGGGTAACTGTAACTGGATTGGTCTAGTAACTGTAGTTGGACGAGTCGGCAACTGTAATTATGGATGGGTTGGGTTGAGTAACTGTAACTGGTCAGTCGGGTAATTGTAACTGGCGGGTCGAGTAATTGTAACTGATCAGTCGGGTAATTGTAACTGACGGGTCGAGTAACTGTAACTGATTAGTCGGGTAATTATAACTGGCAGGTCAAGTAACTGTAACTGAGGAGTAATTGTAACTGATTAGTCGGGTAATTATAACTGGCGGGTCAAGTAACTGTAACTGATTAGTCGGGTAATTGTAACTGACGGGTCGAGTAACTATAACTGATCGGTCGAGTAATTGTAACTGGCGGGTCGGATAATTGTAATTGGTTGGTTTGGTAATTGTAGGTGATTAATTGGGTAACTGTAAGTAATCGAATCGGGTAATTGTAACCGATCGGATCGGATAATTATAACTGGTTAAATAGATAATTATAACTGATCGGATCAAATAACGTTAATTGATCGAATAAAAAATGTAACTTATTGGACGTGTAATTGTAATTTATTGGATCAAGTTATTGTAAATGATCACCTTCTAATTATAATTGAAGAATAATATAATTTAAAAATATTATAATATAACAATCAAATAATTACGGAGTATTTTTTTCTATTTTTGTTCGTTGCCTAGGAAACACGCGCAAATGACTCCGTATTAATTTACCGTCTTATGACTAGGCAGGACTGGGGGGCAAATTTGGCATATTAATCCTAAGTTTCTAAACGGCACACACGCACAGTCATATTGTTGGAAATTATTAAAAGTGAAACTGTATTTGTCCAAACCCTTTTAATTAGTATTATTTTTGAGCTAACCCCTTAAGATTAAGGTGTTTATAAAGGTTAGGGATTTTGTAGCTACATAAATTTGGCCATTTTTCTGTTTTGAGGGTTTTGTTGTACTAATTTTGAGTAGCAATTAAGAGACTTGTATTAAAGGAGGCTTGTACCAACAAGAAACAAATCAGCATGTTACTTCCTTCATAAAATCAGAGTTAGTAATTACTATAAAATCAGAGAAATAATACTAGTCCTCGAAATGTTTATGCTCAAAACCCTTCAAAAACCAAGTCCCAAAATGAGCAAGTAACAGTTATCAGTTATTCAATAGGTCTGTACATTGTTTTATAATGTCTGTGACTCGTGATTCTGTCTGTAACAGGGCTCCAAAGTTAAAAGTTCCGCTTAAAGACTATTTCCCAGCTCAGTACTCAGTGTGCGGAAAATATAATGAAGCATCTGATCTGATAAAATCATGTTTATCCGCCAAACAATTGCAACTGTTCCGCCAGCTACCATGGGGCCATCTTGTGGATGTCCCGAAGATTCAATTTTTTGCCCAAATAGTTCATATGCTGCTTTTATGCATTGTGGAGGAACAACCAGAAGATGAACTCTGGTTTTGCGTTCAAGGAAAGGTCTTAAAGTTTACCTTTGCTGATTATTGTTACATAACTGGACTACCCTATATAGACGAAATGCTATCCTCACCTGAGGAAGACCAATACTGCGATCCTCGTCTGAGGAAGATGAAGCTGGGGAAGATGAAGTTGAAGAGAAAGAACCTGGGGAGGTGGCAGAAAAGTACCTCGGTGGCTCAGTGGATACTACCTTTAAGAAGTTTAAGGAAATATATCAAAAATTAAGGCCTTCCAAACGAGGTGATCCAATGCTTGGTGTGAAGTTAACCTCTTTGTACTTTGTTCAGTGTGTGTTGCTAGCAAAAGACCGAAGCACGAGGATAAATCCTGACTACGTAAGACTGGTCAATGATTTCACCGAATTCAAAGCTTACCCGTAGGCTAAGGAGTCTTACAATTTATTGGTCACCGATTTGAAGGGTTTAATGGCTGGGCAACCAAAGAAGTTTAAAGAAAGCAAGGGGAAGAATTCAAGTTATCGGAACGCAAAGTTCACTGTTTATGGCGCTCCATTAGTTCTACAGGTATAAAAAATGCAATTATGTATTAGTTTATTAATTTTGCTATTTATTTATGTATTTATAAATTTATGTGTTTGTACAGTTAATCTAATTGTATTTTACAGATAATATATGTTGTACACAGACACTACATATTGGTCACAGACAAAAAATGGGCTATAAACAGACAATGATGTTTTGTGTTATTTATAGATTTGGGCATACGAAACTATACCAGAACTTGGGCAACACTTTGGAAAGAAGGTGGGTGATACAGAGGTGCCAATATTAAACTGGACTGCGGATAGAATCTTCAGGATCACACATCTTAAAAAAATCGTCTTTCCTGAGGTATGCTTGAATATTTTTATGTGAAACATATTTATTTGGATCAAATCAAAGTCCGTTGTTATAACTTATTATACACTTGATATATGTATTTTTCAATGTTGTAAAATTCGTTAGTAGCTAGTCGGGGGCAATTTGATTTTTACAACTAACGTTTGTAATATAATGTATATCATTTCCTTTATGGCAAGAGGCAGAAATAGGTTCCAGTTCTGAAGGAGGACAATCTGATGAAGATGACCAATCATCACAGAATTTAAAGATCATGGAGCAGATGCAGGAAATGTGTATGTGTCTTCAAAGAATGGAAAAGCGGATTGATGCTTTTGAAGATAGGGTTTGTGAAATGAAGGACCTAATTCTTCAGTTGATTAAAAAAGGCAACCCATCAGGGAGCGACAATGTATGAAGTCATCGGTTACATTTTCTCATTAGTTACTTGTGTGCGTGCGTTAATTCAGTGCATACATACTAATCATTTCATTGCAGGACAAGATGCCTCATTTTATACCCCCCGGGGAGAAGAAGGAAGCAAACACTGTGGTTGAACAAGAGCCAAGCAAGGGTTTGGAGACTAGTGTTGATGACATTATGACGCTTGATGTGATTGAGGTATGCTTATTCCATATTTTTGTGTTGTCTGTGTGTGGTATCATGTCTTGTCTGTTTGTTGTTTAATTTTGTCTGAGGGGAGGAAAATATTGTCTGTTGTGACTGAAACAAATATTGTGACTGAGGTATGCTTTATTCATACTTTAGTATTGTCTGTATGTGGTATAAGTTTTGTCTTTGGGGAGTAAAATAATGTTTGTTCTGAGCCATTGTGTTTGTACAGGCGGGTGAGGAAAACGCCTCTCCTTTAACAACGCCTGGCCCATTTCAAACATTGGATTGGGATGGAGTTATTGAAGATAACGGGACTGGGGTGATAGATGTTGAGGCGCTGGAAGAATTGACTAGGCATGAAGTTAACAAGAGAAAACGTTTTCGCTCTAAATACCAGTGCTCCCCATACACAGACCCGCTTGGGAAACGGAAGAAACTTGCTGGCAACATCAATCCCACCTTACTTGAAGCTAGTGATGCTGACTATGAATCTTTGAAAGCTTGGATGGAGGAGGAGGACAATGTTGAACCTTCCTCATTTATTCTTGAGTTGTCATCACAAGAATCTATGAATAAGACCTTTTTTCAAGAACTTGTTGAACCTGAGGAGTGGTTATCCACCCATGTGAGTCACATTTATTTGTTCCTATATTTTTATTTTGTTATGTGTTGCTGACTTGCTATTTTTTTATAGCACTTGGATTCTCTCATGTATCTATTTGCCAAAGGCATGTTGGAGAAGCGCTATCAATTAATGAGTCCTTACTTTGTGGTACGTGATCGATTAATCGCGAACACCCAAAATTAAGCACAGAAATTTAGAACACATTAACTTTGTTTTGTAGCGTCAACTTCTGAAGAAGAATCCGGGGAATGACAAGTTGTGGTGTGCGTGGGTTAAAGACAACGACGTCACAGGTATAGAAAAGGTAAGCCCACAAACATTTGCTATTTTTTATTTGCTCGTCTTCTAAGGATCCGGTCTTTTTTCTCACTAGCCTAATCCATTTGCTATTTTTTATTTGCTTAATTATATGTTTTGAATTTTCAGGTTTTCACCCCCTTCAACTGGGAAGGTAAACACTGGGTTCTTGCAGAGATTGACATGTTTCATAGAGTGGTTCAAGTACACGACTCATTGAAGTCGAGTAGGACGGCTTCATCTGTGGCCCATTTGTGTGTTCGATTTTCGCACCTCTGTAGGGCGATAAACTGTAGCCACGATGTATGTCAAACAAGAAACATGGAATCTTGGAGAGCCGAGGCAGTGAACGATGTCCCACAACAAGAAGGGTAAATATTTGTCTGTGAGGTGTTTAATAGTGTCTGTACATGTCATCTTGTGTTTGTGTGTTTCATACTCATGTTTAAATGACTTCCTATTTACAGAAGTAGTGATTGCGGTGTCATGGTTGCGAACTTTCTTGAGGCATTGATGTGTGATGTACCCTTGAGGCCATACTGCGAGTATGATAATCTGCACTCAAAGTGATGAGAGTTTGTTGTACGGCTGTGGCGTGTGAGGCGGATTGCATCGTAGATTTTATTATATGAACTTATGTAACACCAACGTTGTGCTGCCTAGCTTTTTTGTCATAACTTGTTCAATACAAACACTGTTTTGTAAAGTTGACCTATATTGGCCATAACTTATGTTGTACATACACTTATTTTGTAGCTATAAACAATTGTCTATGTATTTAATGATTGTGTTTGTGAGGTATAACCAATTGTCTGTGCATTTAATGATTGTGTATGTGAGTTATAGACATGAGGTTGTGCACTTACCATTCAAACTAAAACTGGTCACCAGTGTCTGCACGTAGGACATAATATTGTACATCATACAAAAGGCATCCAAAACAAAGATAATTTTAAATCTAAACCACTAGGGTGTATACATGGCACACTACCTGCGTTACTAGCACCTTCACCACTTCCATGTTGGGTCGGTGTGTTTGGAGTTTGTGCTTTATCTTTCCTAGCCTTCCCTTTTTTCTTCCCCGTTTTAAGTGGGCCCTTTTGCCGGTTTTTCCTTAGAGCCCCCTTGCGCTTAGAGCATTTAGGATCTCCGATCACAAGTGGAACCTCACCTTCGCCTTGCACACTTGTGGTAGGGTGTTGTATGGGTGTGATGGTGCCACCTATAGAAGAATGACAAAGCGGCGGAGTATATGTTGCTAATTGGGTCTCCAACCATAGGAGGACGCTATTGTACTTGTCTTCATCATCGGCAATAATGTTAGCAAGCGATTCAAATGTCTTGCATAACTTGTCAAACCGTTTTTATTCCACCGTTGTGATCCACCCGTTGTAATTGATTTTAACTCTTTGGTAAGCTCTTTTCACATCTTTCCTCCATCTTTGGAAGATGTATGCATCGGGCAAGACTTTCAAACCAACCCGACGTAGGACCATAATCAAGTGTCTACACACCGTACCTCGAAATTCAATTAAGTGAGAAATGCAAACTCCAAAATTAGTTAATGGGTCATACTCCACAAAGAAGTTCACACTTTTATCCAACCCATTAATTTTGTCATCTTTCACCCTGAATTTTTTACCATATATCCTCGCATAGCAAGAGATCACAATAAACCTTGCCAACCATTTCATTTTGAAACTCCTTGAATTTAGCTAGGGTGTAAATTTCTTGCACTTGTTTCTCCATTCCATATGTAGTAACGCATGGGATCATTTTGGTAAAAGAATTAGTGTCATCTTGAAAATCTTTTTCCACCTTGTTTCGCAACGCACGTCCATATTGCTCAACAAATTGTTTGAGAGTTGTTTTGGAATTGATAAAGGAATCGAAAAAAGCATTGATGTTCTCACTTCGTTGCGTTGTAGACATGTCTGCCCAAAATGTTGGCTTTAAATAACACGGTACCCATCGTGTTCTTTCGTTGTACATTACATCGAGCCATTCATGATCTTGAAGTGAAAACCTGAAATGAAATCATCAACATTTTACAAATTATTACATAGAATAACTTACTGCCTGCAAACAAATTTATGTCTGTAAAGTATAGATATATGTTTGTCTGCGACCAAATATATGTCTGTAAAATTTACAGAAACTTGTACCTTTGTAACATCTCAATCCACTTATGCTCAAATTCTTGCACGTATTGGGAGTCGTAAATGCACTCATGTAGAGCATCTAGGATATCATCTTTTTGTGCAAGGCCTCCGAGTTTTTCGGGTACCTTTTTCATTATGTGCCATAGACACCACCGATGTTTGGCATTTAGAAAAACAATTTTAATGACATTTTGCATTGCACGATCTTGATCCGTAATAATTCCCATTGGAGCACATCCCTCCATGCAATCGAGCCATGTTTTAAATAGCCACATGAAAGTGTCTGTATCTTCACTAGATATTAATCCACATCCTAGCAATATAGATTGGCCATGATGATTGACCCCGACAAATGGAGCAAAAGGCATGTCATACCCATTCACAAGGTAAGTTGTGTCAAACGTGATGACATCTCCAAAAGATTTGTAAGCATACATACACCGATTGTCGCCCCAAAACACATTCCGCAATCTTGACTCCTCATCTAAGTCAAGGCTATAGAAAGATCCGGAACATTGGGCTTGCATAGTAGCAAAGAACCCTTGTATTTCCATTGCATCACCACTCCCTAGCCTAAGTTGCCTCACCTTATGAATGTAGTTTCTACAATCTTTAGAGTAAATTTCCTAAATAGGAGTAAAAAAGTTTTGAAATTCCAAAATAGGAGTATCATGTTTTTATTCTCTAAATAGGAGTAAATTTCTGCCAAGTTTGGCATTATTAGGCTATTAAACATGGCATTTTTTTCCAAACTTGGCAGATTACTCATATTCAAGGAATAAAAAACATGATACTCCTATTTTGGAATTTCAGAACGTTTTTGCTCCTATTTAGGGCAATTTCTAAATCTTTTTCAATAAAGGGAAGTTCATCATATCCACCGGCTTGAACAACGGCCGAGTTGAATGTTTTATGAAATCGTATTCCCGTTACATCATTTATTTCTAGTTATCTCCTTATTTGAGGAGTCAACCTCCTATTGCACCGAAATAGGCGAGCCTTTGTTGGACTCATCGGATGGGAATGTTGTAGAGATATTTTTGAAATTTCCCATGAACCATTATAAGTTGTGCGCACCCGTATCCTAGCTCCGCACCCGGTTTGCATTGAAAGTTGGGGCTTTAATTGATTTTGTGCCTTACTACCTCGAGTCCCTACGCGTGAACGCTCCATTACCATTGCAATCTCTATTCCATTTTTGTCTTTGATTGTACTCCTAGTTCTTATAGGAAATCCCATGCTCTTCGTGTATGTCTTGTAAATATCATACACGGCTTCTTTCGTATCAAACTTCATACCAACATCCGGAGCTTCAATATCCTTTTTATGACCATGTGCATCTGTCATCGTAAAATATTCAATTCAACTTGTTCACTTATTCCAACATACACAGACAAACTTTCATACACTACACAAACAAAATACCCAGAAGCGAAAAAACACAGTACAAAAACGAAATATAAACTTTAACTATTTGCAGACCATGTTCACTTGTTCCAACATACACAGACAAAGTTTCATACAATAAAGACAACTTAAATTTATTTTGACGAAATTACGAACTACATAAACGAAATACAAACAAGATGAAGTCCTACCCAGTTCATACACGACGTCCATGGAAGCCTCCAACGTCGGTCCGTCACCTTCTTCAGTTTGAGCCTTGTTTCCGTCATCTTCTTCAGTTTGGTGAGCTCCGGATGTCTGTCCGCCAACCCCTGCAGCTTCGGAGGTCTATCCGTCATCTTCTCCAGCTACTACCGACGTTCCTTCAGTTTGGTGAGCTACGTCATCTCCTCCTCCAGCAGTTGCATCCCAGAAAGTCCAAAAATCGTCATCGTTAACATCTCCCATGGTGTCTTCCAACGAGCAACGATTGCCAGTGGGTGCGTTGATTTTTTTTGTCGGAGAAGACCACCTGTGGAGAAGAAACTGGTGCGGGAGTTTGATTTTGGGAGGGAGATGGGTGGAAGACTGGCGCACATGAGATTGGAGTGGAAAAGGGGGGTAATTTTTTTTTGGGCTTTATATATGGTGTACTAGTGGGTATTAGAAGGTGTACAAACAGCATTTTGGTTAAATATAATAACTATCCTTGTTGTACATATCCTATATCTAGACTTGTCTGCAGTTTTCAGTTTAATCGGATCAGAATCGTAACCAAAACTGGGTTTTTAACCGGATCAGAATCGTAACCAAAACCGCATAGTACTTCCGGTTCGGAACCAGATGTTTACTAGACTGGTTCGGTTTCTCCAAAAACGTGGAATCGGAATCGGCGATTCCGGTTTGGAACCTCTTTTTTTAAATAGTTAGTCAATTATAATATTATTAATAACTAGACGAAGTACCCGTGCGATGCACGGGGGGTATATCCAGAGGGAAGTAACACTTGTTTGAAATTACATTATATTGCACAGTGTAATGAGCAACTTTTTAAATAAAAAAGGGAAAATGTCAAATAGTTTCTTCTTTTATTTCCATCTCATGACTTAAGTCTCATATACTAAAAAAGTATCATGTACTACTTATCGTTTAATCGGTTTTTGACCTATAATAGCATGTTTTTTTATTACCAAACTTCAAAATTTTGTTAAAATTCAAAGAATTATATATAGAAAGTGTGGGCAATTTAAGAATGTCAAAGTGTTTTGTTTTTTGGAAATATTTGTATATTCTGCATCTTTTTTAAAGATATCACATTTTAATTTTATGTTTTTTTTACACTTTCACTTTATTTTTTGTCTTTTTTCTATTTTTATTTTTTATGATAACTTGTTAAAGTTATCTATCCATTTTTTTAATTAATATGATTTTTTATATTATAATTATTACATTACTTTTAAATTTATATGAATTTTTATAAGATTAGTCAATTGTTTTTTATATTAAGATTATACTATAGCAAGTTAAAATGACTTGATTGACAATATTTCTATAGTAATCATGCTTATGATACTACACACTTTTTTAGGAGATATTTACCTAAATAGGAGTAAATCAATCTTTAATTGCCAAAATAGGACTTAAGTCTAAAAATTGCCTAAACAGGAATTATTATTTATAGTTGGACAGAAACACCCTTGAAGATAAGAAAACACATGGTCATCAGCAGCATGCCACACCGCCGCTGTACAACCGCCGCCCACCACCGACCACCTCAAAACTGATCGTCGCTGCAGATCTCTCCACCGCCACTGCAGATCTGACCGTCGCCGTCGCAGATCTAGCTAAATCTAGCTGCCACCACCTACCGGCCGCCCCTTCAGATGCAGCTGCCGCCGATGCAGATCCGGACTCCGCGGCTGCAGATCCAGCCTCTGCTGCCGCAGATCTAGCCGGTGGCTAGACTCTAATGCCATCAATTTGATCTGAATGCCAACATGAACCGAGAATGCCAATTTAATGGCATTTTCAAAGCAAAAGATGGCATTTTGAAGAACAATTTTGCCATTTTAATGGCATTCTAAAACAAAATTTGAACGAGATCTGCAATGAAACACAAAACAAGATCTGCAATGAAGGAAGAAGAAAAATATGACAGAAGAAGACGGGAGAAAAACGAGCTACTTCAACTCGGCCACCATGGCCACTAGATCTGAATTCACGACTCGTGGATGCTTCGTCTCTTCTCGCCGTGGGTTCCTTTTGCTCACCACCGTTGATCGTTGCTCGTTTCCGCTGCCTCACCTCGAAGGTCGCCACTGCTGCCTCACCTCGAAGGTCGCCACTGCTGCCTCACCTCGAAGGTCGCCGCTGCTGCCTCACCTCGAAGGTCGCCGTTGCTGCCTCACCTCGAAGGTCGCCAATGCTGCCACACATTGAAGATCCTTGTTGAGAAGATGAATAGGGCCGGTGCAATTGTAGAAAAGAATGGGAGAAGAAGCTGGACTGCTGGGTCACACGATTTGAAGGCAATTAAATTAAAGGGAGTGTAAATTTGGATCAAAAGTCCTATTTAGGGAATAAATAATATATACTCCTATTTAGGAATTTCAACAATAATTTAGTCTTATTAAGGTTAATAATTCTTTTTTTAGTATATGGACTTAAGTGATGGGTTGAAAAATGACAACAATAGAAAGTTTTATTTGACTGTTTTCCTTTTTTATTTAAAACAATTGCTTATTACTATTTTCTATTTTTATTTTTATGATAACTTGTTGAAATTATCTATCCAATTTTTAATTAATACGATTTTCTATATTATGATTATTACTTTATTTTTTAATTTATATGAATTTTTATAAGATTAGTCAATTGCTTTTTATATTAACATTATACTATAGCAAGTTAAAATGACTTGATTGACAGTGTGTCTATAGTAACCATGCTTATGGTATTACGTACTTTTTTAGTATATGGACTTAAGTGATGTATTGAAAACAATAAAAAGGTTTATTTGACTATTTTCTTTTTTATTTAAAACAATTGCTCATTACTTTTTTCTATTTTATTTTTTATGATAACTTGTTAAAATTATCTATCCATTTTTTTTAATTAATACGAGTTTTTATATTATGAGTATTACACTATTTTTAAAATTTATATGAATTTTTGTAAGATTAGTCAATTGCTTTTTATATTAACATTATGCTATAGCAAGTTAAAATGATTTGAATGACAGTGTTTCTATAGTAAACATGCTTATGTGATACTATGTACTTTTTGTTGGAAAAATGTGTTAAAAATCGCATTAAATGGTCATTTTGGGGCAATTATTTGAGTGGGGTCCACTTCCGATTTGGGTCGGGTCAAAGTGGTTTCGGATTGTCCTTGTTAAGGGCTACAATTCGATATATGGTACGCTCAAAACGGATAACGGGTGAATGAGAAATTGATTCTCGAAGTTCACTCGTTGAAATGGAAAAACTGGGAAAATGATGAGTTTCTAGTGTGTTTTATCCCACACCGAAAAACTCAAGGGATTTTCACCCCCTTATAAAGGGAAGCCTCTTTTAAGGAGTTAAGATTCCTAAAGGGAAAGGCTCTCTCTTACGCGCAGGGGGGGTGCTGATCAAATCCCGAAACGGAGAAGAAAAACCGTGACTCGTGTGCGCGGGCGATCTGCGGACACGAATGCCATCCAAAAATCTATCTCTCAAGAGATACGGTTAATTTTTGTTTTCTTCCCGAAACGTTTAATTTTTTCCCAGAAGTGCTCCGGACAGAAACCCTCCAAGGGGTGTTCTGTTGGGGTCTTCTGTCGCGCACTTCTTCCGTTACAACAATTAATGCCCAACGTTCTTCTCTTTTAATGCTGCGTTAAATGGACAGTTTATGCACGATTCAATGCCCAACGGACTGCTCATTGATGTCCAACGTTCAGGTCCATTAACACCCCATTTAACACACAACAAATCCTCCTATAAATAGCTGGCAGGTGCTTTGCAACAAACACACGGTTTTTGACAACGCACAACACTTTCCTCACGTTTTCTTGAGCTAAAAACTCTTCCAGCTACTCCCAGAATTCCTTCTGTGTTCATACTTGGTTCTCGTTCGCTGGAACTCTTGTTTGTGTGCTCAAACATTAGTTCGTAGTCATCGTATCCTGGGAAACGATTGTTGCAACGCTCCTAGCACCGTGGGAGGCAACAAATACGTTTTAAGGAAATCGTGCGTAGCACGAGCTTTGGCTAATTCTACTTCATCTCGTTTCTTGTTTTTCTCTAGTCATTTTATTTAATTAATTTATTTTAATTAATTTTCTTTATTTTCCGAAACACACCCAACACTTTTTTTAGTGTATGGATTTAAGTGATGTATTGAAAACAATAGAAAGGTTTATTTGACTATTTTCCTTTTTTATTTTAAACAATTGCTCATTCTGTACATTTAAGTTTCATGCAATGCTTTGACATTTTTCTTGAATGCTTTTGTTATTCTCATATATAGAATAATTGGTCGAAGCAATTTTCTATTTTACATTATACTCCCCCCATACCAAAATAATTTTCCCATTTTCTTTTCGGGTCGTATCAAATTAATTATTCCACTTCATTTTTTTTGAAACAAAAATCTACCTTAAAAGAAGCTACACTTTAATAAAGTACACACTACTGGTATAGTACCGAAAACATAGCATCTTACTTTTTGTAATGTTTACAATACTTATTTTAAACTACTTGAAAAACTAAGAACCCATTTGGTGCTCATGTTTTTCGGCTTATCAAACTTATCTGCCAACTCTTTTACAAAACACGTACTACCTCCGTCCCATTAGGTTGTTTTTACTTGGACTGTAATTTGTCCCAGACCAGACCAGACCAGACCAAAACAGGCAGACCAGACCATATCAGACTAAAACAGACCAGACAAGATCAGACTAGACCGGACCAGACCATATATTATTATTATTATTATTATTGTTATTATAGTTATTATTATTAGTAGTATTATTACTATTATTATTATTACTACTATTATTATTATTATTATTATTATTATTATTATTATTATTATTAGTGGTGGTGGTGGTGGTGGTGGTGGTGTTATTGTTGTTATTATTAATACTTTTACTATTTTATTATTGTTTGGTTTAGTCTGTTCGTATTTTAAGTCATACAAGTGACAGAATAATATAGATGATCTTGATATGTAAAAAACAAAGAAATAAAAATAAATAAATAAAATCTTGATTTGTAAAAACAATTGTATGAATAATGGGTAAACTATAAATCTTTTTAGAACAAAAAAAAAGTAATATAAAATAATAAATATCATCATGCATCCCTTGTACTGGGTTTCTAAACGTCTTCCCAAATTTGTTTCACAATTTACACGTGAACATTGTTCATAGCTTCTTTTCGCCCATGGTTGAACATATCTGAATCAACCATGCCTTCTCCATTCCCTTCATGTTCATAAATTGGCATTCCCATTTTGCACATGCTGATAAAATTATGAAGTGTAAAATTAGAGAAAATAATTGCTTGTTGATGCTCTTCTTTCATTTTGGGCATATTGTGAAATATCTTACACCTTTTCTTCAGATGCGAAAATGCTCTTTCAATGGTAGTTCTCAGTGATCAGTTGCGATAATTAAAATGTTCTATTACTCCTCTTGGTTTACCACCGTCACGAAATTCTGGCACGTGTTTCCTCATTCCCGCATCATCAAATGGAGCTAAATAGCCTGAATCTAATAAGTAATATTTACCTACATTTTAAATGGGAGAACTACCAAATAAGCCCTCGAACTTTCATAAAAAGTGCAAATAAGCCCTTTTATATGAGGCTCTGTCCGTCCATCGCCATTTGGGGCGGTTTCCGGGGGAATATTTTGTTGAAAGTTTTTGAGTATCTTCTTCATTAAGTCTAGTTTACTCATACCAAATTTCATCTAAAAATTCAATTCGGAAGGCAGTGAAATGAAATTTAGAAGATAACTGCGCAGTTAGGCAGCGCAGTATAATTCATAAAATCATTTGACTATCTTCTCGATTGAATTTTTAGCTGAAATTTGGTATGAGTGAACTCGACTTAATTAAAAAGATTCTAAAAAAAATTCATCAAAAAATTCCACCGGAAACCTCCCCAAATGGTGACAACCGGACAAAGCCTCCTGTAAAAGGGCTTATTTGCACTTTTTATGAAAGTTCGAGGGCTTATTTGATAGTTCTCCCCATTTTAAATTGACTTTGTTAAAAGGATACTGTTTTATATTTACAAAAACCTTTAATAATAAATTTATTTGTATTTTTATACTTGGTGGGGGATGAAGAAAATAATATTTTGATTGCATTAAGGAATAAACCCACACTCTTACGTCGTGAGCTCTTCCTTCCCAGCCAATATTGACAATCATGAATAGTTTATCAAATGAACAACATGCTAAGACATTCCAGGTTTTGATTCCTTTGCGTCCTCGAAACGTTCTCAAAATCTATGCCAGTGCAATTTTGAAGGTCGGCCCATGCTTTGTATTTATCTTTCAACTCATTAAAGTGATTTCGCGCATTCTTACAATCAAAAAGAGCACCCGTTTGTACAAGAAGGTTGTTAACAATTTTATTCCAATCATATTTAGTATTTCCTTTTGCTTTTTCTTCAGCACAAATCTTCAAAAATGTAGTTGTAGTGGTGTCATTCCAAAGTGTCCTCCTTGACATTGTCTATAATTGATAGTAAAATAATACATAATTATAACTTCATAATTAATTGAAGTGAAGTACTTATATATGATAATATTTTTATTTATATGTCTACATATATATATATATATATGTATGTATGTATATACGGAACATTAGTACAATACTAACTTTTCAAAAACAATTTGACTTTCTAAAACATTAACAATTCATCACATTAAATACAACATTAAATTCAAAGCATTCAACAAAATATTAAATACAATTTTTTTGAGAAATATTAAATACTTCCTTTGTCCCTTATAACTTTGCCAACTTTCTTTTTTTGGTTGTCCCAAAAATTTTGCCACTTTCCCTTTTAGTCAATCAATTTGTGATTCCTGTTATTTCTCTCTCCTCTGCACAAATCTTTACCACATAGTTTTTACTTTATTATTCTACGTGCCGGTCAAAATTGACAATCCTTTTAGGAACGGATGGAGTACAAAGTTAATATACAAGGTTGGATGATTTTAAACCCACTTACCCAACTGAAGTAATAATTAAACAAATACGAATCACATACCCAATACCCACACACTAAAGTTAAAAGTCCAAGTCTAGAAAAAATTTGAAGCGAAGTAAAACTCCGACTACAAGATAACAAGAGTGAGCTACTAAAACGACTTAGCCAGCGACGGAAATACCTGGCGGGAAGATTGACGTGCGGCCGATTGAAGATGAAAGGGAAGATAAGCGCAGATGGAAGACGGATTCAGCGCAGACGGAAGGGAAGTAGAGCGCAGAGGGATCGGTCTGTTCTATTTTATATATACGTGTGACTATACTGGGCCAATTGCCTAATTTTATCTTTTGTCCTGTTTTTACTTGGACTAGTTCAGTGTAGTCTGATAATGGTCTGATCTAGTTTGAGTTGTTCTGTATTTGTATGGTCTGGTCTGATCTGCTTCAGTCCAAGTAAAACGATAACAATTTTCGATAATTTGGAAGGAATATTATTATTTTTAATTATAAATGAATAAACTATAATTATTTATGGAATATAATATATATAAAAAATAAAATCTTTATGCAAAAATATAAAAAATAAAATTTCAGACCAGACCAGACTACACCAGACCAAAACAGACCAAACCAAACCAGACCAGACTAAAACAGACCAGACCAGACCAAACTAGACCAGCAAATTACAGTCCAAGTAAAAACATCCTTAGAAGGTTCTCGTACACTATTCACATGGTCAACTTAAATCATTTTTAATCTTTTACTTTATAAATCAATTTTTTATCAAATTTACATTTTTTATCAGACTTTGTAGCGGTTTTAATGTAGTTCCTGAATATGTTAATTTTACATACTAAAAATAATCAGAGTGTGAACAGGGATTAAGTTGTTTTATCGTCAGTCAAGCATCGTAAACCGTCAATTCCCACCTTCTAGCGGGACAGAGAGAGTAACTTTTTACTTTGCGTGCTAAAGCAGTGAATTGTGTAATGATAAGAAAAAATAAAGTTGGTGTTACTTTGCCGACTATATTGGCTGAAGTTGATGTAGAGGATCATTTTATCTATTTTTAAAATAATTTTTTCTTTATTTTATTAATAAAAAATATTTAAAATATAATTTGCTCATAAATCAGCAGAATCAGCCAATCCAGCCACTTCAGCCAGAAAATTAAATCATAAATTTAGCAGAATCAGCCGATTAAGTCAATTATGATTTTACCAAAAGAGCTCTAAATGTGATATTTATTTTAATGGAGAGGGAATCTTTTTCAGATGAACTAATTACAGAAATCATATGAGTATTGGAAAGTATACATTTGAATTATTGAATTATGTACAAGTTTGGTAGATACACCTTCTTTTTAAGGTTGTCGAAAAAATATGAACATTTTCTCAAATTAAACTTCATTAAGTTTTTTACTTTTGCGCTTTATCACTTTATATATTTACCAATCACGCTTTACATTTTGTGGACCAATTTTGCATTTACTTAATTATTATTGGACTGGAGGTTAGAATTGTAAAATAACCACACTATCTTTTTGATGGATAGTCTACCCGGGGGGTATATATCCGAGGGGTTATTGCTGAGAATAACTTAGAGAGGAGTCAGAGCAAGTAAATGTAGAGAGAGTGTGTGTATTATAAATGTGGAGCGTTTTCAGCGTGGTTACAAATGGGGAAATGGGGTGCTATTTATAGTAGCAATAAATGCCGGACAGGGACACGTGTCAAGCGCCTATTGGCCGAGGGTCACCTCAACTGGTTGGCGTTGGCAGCCGCATGTGGCCGCATTTAATGCGACTGTTGGATGGGACGTCTGTACAGGGTACGGTGATCTGTACGCATGTGAGACGGATATCATGTCGGGAGAGGTGCCCTCGGCTGCAGAGGACTAGCCGAGGGCTCTTAGTGCTGAGGACCCCTGAGTGCCGAGGGCTCCAGGTGCCGAGGGCTACTGTTTTCGCCGTTTTCTCCCAGTTCCTCTGTTTGTTCGAAATATCCATGCTGTGATAGTTTGGAGCCTTCGGCCAGGGGGCCGAAGGCACCCCTGGTGCGTATTGCGGGCTGCTTGGTACTCTGGGCGCCGTGATTTGGGTCTGTTGGGCCTTCTGGGCCTGTTGGGCCTGTTGGGCCTCTAAAGGAGTAGTAGGAGTCTGTGGGCCGGGTGTTCCCGGGCCATATACTCCATCAGGAGTCCCTCACTCCTTTTACCGAAAGGTATTTGAGGGAAAAGGAGTAATTTGTGCTTGCCCTTTGATGTTGTCCTGTCGTGATCTCTAAAGTTGGTGGGGAGTTGTTGCTTTTATGTCCCTGCCGAAGGCAGTCCCTCAGTTACCCACATGTCGGGACTTGAGGGCTTGCTTTGTCGTTTGTTGGAATTTCACTAATTTTGTAATTTAATGATTTTCCCGAGGGGGTCCTCCAGTCCCCCACTCCTTGAGGCACTTGTAAAGTGGTGAAAAGGAGTAGAGTAGTTGCGTTGCTGTTGTGGGCCGAAGGCTGACGCTTTTCGTTTCATTTTGGGGGGATGCCTCGTTAAAAACCTCATTAGAAAAAACCCTGTGGGAAAAAATCCTAATGAGGGAAAAAGAGTGCACCGAATTCCCCCAATGATGAATCGAAAATGTGAAACCTTGGTCAAAAATGGAGAATAACGGTAATGCCGAAGGCTCTCTCTTCTGAGGGCTCATGTGTTGATTAGCCGAAGGCTTGCCGCTGATGTCCTGGGGATGCCGAAGGGGAGCCCCTCAATCTGGGGATCGAGGGCGCGATGGATGAGGGCAGTAGTTGAATTGTCACCGGGAGGTCCCCTGCTTGCTGATTAGTTGGTGATGGGGATATCCGGGGGCTCCCATTACCTGTGTGTCGTAGGCTATCCGTCAATGAGGTAACTCCCCGGGGGCTACCCGGTTCTTACAGTGCTGAGGGGGAATTCCCGAGGGGTGCCCTGATATGAAGCCTTGGGTTTCTGAAGGAGTGATCCCGAAGGCGTCTGTTATGTGCTGTGTGGGGCACAACCCGGGGGCGTCTCTGGGTAAGTGTACCCGGAGGCCCTCCTTGATGAAGTGGAGTGAAGTAGAAAACCCGGGGGCTTCCAGAATATAGCCGTTGGAAATATAGCCGTTGGAATATGTAACGTCAGATTTATAGCCGTTGGGGGGGGGGTACACGTGGAGTGTAGCCGTTGGCTGCTCGTGGGCGGGCGTCACCGGTTGGGTGAAACGACGGTGTGTAATGATGACGCTTGGCTGGAGGCCCGGTTTTTGGGCCCAAGCCCGGATTCTGGAGTCTATAAATACCCCATGGCCAGAGCCATTCCCCGCTGTGCGAACTCAGTGTAGTGAAGCTCTGGCAAAAATTTTCTAGAGAGAGAAACTTGCCCTCGGTTGAATCCCCTGTTCTCAAGGTCAGTTCCCCCCTGCCTTTCTCCTTCTAGTTTAGCTGTGCCTTGTGCCCTTAGGTTAGGAGATAGAATTCTCTAGAAAACCTTAGTTCCCCCGAACCCTCGAGCTAGAGTTAGAATGTCGTCCCAGAGCGATTCTCAAGACATCTCGGGGGCGCCCTCGATGGAGGATGAAGTCCTTTCGGACATGGAGTCCTCAAACGAACAGTCCTCGGCCCAGGAGGACATTGTGATGGCAGTAGAGGTGCAAAAGGAGCTGCTAGCTGAAGTTGAAGCCGAGGGCTTCGAGCAGGAGGTTGAAGACGAAGAGCTGGCCCTCGCCATGCAGGTTGCAGAGGAGGAGGAAGCAAAAGAGAGGACGAGGGTGACCGTGGCCGTCCTTCCCCCTCGGGGTGCTGGTGAGGCCAGTACCTCTCGGCCGCTGGACGCAGTTCCCATCCGGGTGGCCCCCGGGAAGAAGAAGGCTAAGGTAGTTGTTCCCAAGAAAAAGGGGAGCGTCGTGGATCAAGGGAAGCCCCTCGATATGCCCGAGGGGTACTCCTACCTCAACACCGCCGCATTGGAGATCAAGTCGAAGGTTGATGCGGCGGACATCTATGTCACCCAGCTTCACGTGGGCCCCTCGGCCATCGTGGTGACACCGGGTCCGGATGACATCCTCTCCCGGGCTCCCGAGGGCTGCATTGCGGTGCACGTTCTCTCGGTATCCATGGGGCTCCGCTTCCCCCTGCACCCCTTCCTCCGGGAGTACCTTCGGTTCGTGGGTCTGGTTCCCTGCCAGCTGACCCCGAACAGCCATTCTTATATCACTGGCTTCCTTCAGCTCTGCAAGTCCCGGGGGGTGACGCCTGGCCTGGACCTCTTCTTCCAGAGCTTCAACTTGTGCCGGGGGGGCACGCGAATGCCGAGGGATTCGCCAATTTGCAGCAGGTGTCCATGTTCAAACTCTTCACTGAGACGCCCTCCTCGAACAAGGGGTGGAAGGACCGGTGGTGCTATGTGAAGCTGACCGAGAGCCCCTTCCCGAGGGAGCTACGTGACCGCTTCAGGAGGCACGAGAAGAGGAGGAGCGCCGCCCTCGAGAAAGATGGCAGGATTCTGGCCATGATCCCGGAGGGCCGGGACAAGAATATCACCATCAAGGAGTGCACCAAGGAAGCAGATCTCTACACCCTCGGGTTCCGGCGGTACCGGTTCCTGGGGGAAACAGATGAGAAGTTCCCAGTGTTTGAGGGAGCCTCCGGAGGTAGTGGCTGAGGGCATTCTCACCCTCATATCTTAGCACGTTGTTTATTTGCTTCGTTTATTCTTTATGCCACTTATTAGTGACCCCTCGATCCTAACCCCTCATTGTTTTGCAGGTATCCCAGTAAACATGATGAACGTCAAAGGCCTCGCTCGACTCAAGAACAAGCCGGCCAAGGATCCGAAGGGGTCGGACGCTGGCGGCCAAAAGCCCGTCGGTGCGCCTCCCAAGAAGCCCGAGGGCGATGCTGCTGCGGCGAAGAGGAAGCCGAAGGCAAAGGAGCCCCCCAGGCCCCCAAGAAATCGAAGAAGGGGGACGCCGCGAAGGATGACCCCCCGGTGGTGATTGTAGATGACCCTCCGGAGATGCCGATGGCGCAGGTGCCGAGGGGTGCCCGGGAGCCATCTCTCGAGGTCCTCACGCTCTCCCTTCCGGCTGGCACGGCTGTGTTGAATGGCACGGCATACCGAAGGGCTGTGTTGGATGAGTGTTTGCCTTCGGGCTTCGTATATATGGCTTGTTTTCTCTAATTCCTTTCTTCTTGAATGTATGCCTCCGTTTTTCTTGAGTGTATGCCTTCG